CGGTATGCTGGTTCAGTTACGTATTGCTTAGCATATATTACATATATGTGCCAATCCACATCAGTACGTTGGACATTAAGTTTATAACTAGAAAATAGTTATTGTAGTATAATATTACAGAAAACTATTTTAGTCCCTTTCGTTAAAGTATGTTAATGCAAAAATTTTAATATATTAAATTAAAGATATATTATGATGTATGGTATAGACACGGAATCATTATTCTTCTATAACTAGAAACTTGTTCGAATTTTATTTAGATACATAAAAAGTATTTAAAAATATGATTTTCAAGTGAATTATATTAGTAAGTTTATAAAAGTATTATAAGATTACGTTTTATTATCCTCCACCGGATATATAGGTTTTTAAATCTATTTAAAAATTTAATAAAATACACCATACAAATACAATAATTCTACGTAAATGTATGCGACTTACCTGAATTTAAACTGCTTATAGTCTATAATGCCGAAGTATTAGGTAACACAAAGTGGTACTCAAAACACGTTGTTGAAATGAGAAAACACACTGATTAGTGATTACTGCTTGTTAAAAGAAAGTGCAGTTTTCGTTCGCAAGAATTGGTATTGAGAAAAGTTGTGTCTGAGATGACTGTTGCTGAGGTGGTTGATGCTAAGATGGCTGTTGCTTATCTTCTGGCGAAGTGGTGAAAGAGACGATACAACAGTGCTCGTTAGACAGATGTTTGTCGATTGTAACAAAGCGGACTACGGCCACTAGTGACTACCATGCCCTTCCGTGCCACCCCCCGCTCTTCAATACGGCGAATGGCAGCTGCATCTCCCCCATCAACGTTCTCCCATCAACATCTATCACTTACGTGCCTAGCCATTTCCCACAAGTAACCCATACACATATTTTTTTACCCTCCCCATAATAATATAGATGTCCATTTATGTAATAATGTATAACACAAACTCAGTTTTTAAAACGTTAAGAACTCTTAACAATATTATACATTAAAAATAAACTTTTCGTTATTTTTCTCGAAAAAATATTGTAATAAATATTTTGTATTAATATATTTCGTAAAATGATGTACTATAATTTAATAATAGTAGTAGAACTATGTGATAATTACACTGTAAATTTATGAACTTGAACACGATAATATTTATGAAAGTAAACAGCAGTAGAATGTGATTGATATATATATATATGCAAATATGTAATATAATTAACTAATAGATAGGTTATTTTATTTAAACACATCGACCCGAAATTAAGACACTACAGATACTATATACATACTCTAATTCACCATGCTTTGCTATACTGTAAGTGTTTATACCACCAACTCACCCCTTTTACTTCTCCTACTTACTATTAGACTATGTTATTATGAGGACATTATATATATATGTTACAGTAAATTATATTAAACATTAAAATAACGTTATTTTCTAGTAAATAACAATAATTACCTAACAAACTAGTGATTATCGTGGTTTATTATTTTTTGGGTTTGATTATCGATGATTTCTACATAGTACGATGGAAAATGTTGTTATATAATGTTATCTTAATAGTATTAGCATTGATTATAGAATAGAGTTAATGCACATAGATATGGATTTTGGCTATATAAAGATCTGCTATTAAGACAATCGAATAAATGATTGATAAATTCAATAAAATCTGCAGTATTTAAAGAAGTGTTACTTTGAAGTTGTCCAGTTTGTATACAAGTTCGGATCGTTGCTGACATAGAATGACTCAATAATTGTGCTGCTAATTTAACATTCTATTTTTGAAAAGAATTTGGATAAATATGTGCATCTGTTTTTTGACGAGACATCTACTCTTGAGATTTTTTTTATCTAACTCATCAAATGAAATTATAGGCCTATCTTCGGAAACATTTAATGATTTTAAAGTACTTTGATTGTTTGTGCCTTGATCACATACTATAATTTTTGGACACAATCCAACTTCAAATAATTTTTTAAGAACATCTTGTATTAGTTTTTTTTAAATGTTTTTGCTTACTCCAGAATGAGAAAGAAAATATACAATTGGAATTTTCCACTGAGAATAAATACCTCTGGCCATAAATACTAGAACACAGTTGGCACTTTTATTGATCCTTCCATAATGACCCAAGTCCTCAAAACCTTCAATATAATCAAATTCTTTTGAATATTTTACAAATTCTTTTATATACATCTCATCAAAACAAACAGAGCACACTTTTTCTTTATAATCAGATGACTTAAATTTTTTTTGAAGATGACTAAAAAATAATTTACTAAAACTTGGTAAAAACTTTGATTGACCAATCCAATAACAAATAGTAGATGGTCCTGGTAAATTTACTTTCTGAGAACGTAAAAATTTATATGTTGCTGGAGATTTATAATATAAATTTAAAGCTAATTGTTTTTCATTTAATGTCCACGGACGACGCTTATCTCTTAATTACATAGTCACTAATCACTATTGCCTTAGGGCTTAGAGCAGTGGCGTAATTGTGGGGGGGGGGGCCGGGGGGGGGAACTTGCCCCCCCTGGCAATTTTTACAGAGATAACGGTATAATTTTGCCCCCCCCCAGATAATCCAACTGTACAAATATTTAAATCATCATAAGTTAAGAAAAAATGTAATTTTTTATAATTTAACATACGTGTTATAAGACTAAAAAATTTTCCTTGAATTATTTCATAGAAGTTAACATTAATTTTAGGTTTCTCTTGTTATGTATTATGTCATCGCAATTTACAATAATCGCATTAGTTGGGTTAGGAATAAAAATAATATAATAATAATAATAATACCATTGCATATCTATTAAAGTGTGATAGACAGTATGAACATTATCTTGAAATCGTGATTATGACTAAAGGAACGGGAGGTTATTTTTAGATCAATAACATATTACAATAATAACAACTGATAATATAATTATTATTTTGTCCTGTTTATAGTTTATTCCTACGTACTTTACGTTAGTCATTACCACATTAAATTTTTATGTGCTAGTGTGATTTAGTGCTTTACTTAAAGTCTATTGAATATACTATTCTAATATTATATACTGACTTTACTTCCTCATTCTGCTGTAATTTGTTAATTATTATTAATTATATCAAAATATCAACAAAAAAAATGTCCAATAAACGGTAGTTGACATTGTTTAATTTTATGTCATCAAAATGTAAAAAGACTACAAACGCCCAAAGCAGTGAGTATTACTTAATGTTTAATACATTTTTCAAACAAAAGTTTTTTTGTAACACATGGCGTTCTTATACATAGTATACTATAAATTCTAGTATAATCTTAGATTGTTTATTTTTATTTTTATTATTATTATTAAATTAATTTAATAAACAGAAAAACTTGAAAATATTGCCACATGTATAAATAATTCTATAGATGAAGACTGTTAAATTGGTAAGTAATACATGTTACATATCTATTATATTAAATATTATAATAAAAGATTTTTATTATGTATTTATTATAATTTTTAAAAATGATTATTTATTATGTTTACTAAATTGTTTAAATTGCATTTCAAGGAAACCCTGAAAAACAAGAAAATTTGAAGTGTGAAATTGACTGTGATCGTGATCCGGCTAGAAATTCTAACAATGCATACAATTTACTTTGTTCTGGTCTTGGTCCATATCAGCCAACTAATTGTAATTTTTCTAAAGTTAAAGGTAGACAATTTAGAAAAGAATGGTACGTGAAATTTCCATGGCTTGAATACAGCCCTTCAAAAGATTCTGTATTTTGTTTTTATTGTCGTGCTTTACCATTTGCCAGTTGTGATAAAGCATTTATAACTAATGGTTTTAAATCTTGGAAAAAAATGAACGAATATTCTAATAATCATTCCAAAAGTGTTGCTCATAAAGAATCATTGACAAAATATGCTGGTTTCAAATCAGCTATTAAACAAGGCAATATCATATCTAAAATTGATAGTAATCATAACAAAGTAGTAAAAGAAAATAGAGAATATATAAAATGCTTATTGGAAACTATTTTATACTGTGCTTATCAAGGAATTCCAATTCGAGGTCATAGAGAAAATGAAGATTCTGAAAACATGGGCAATTTTTTAGAACTGATGAAATTACGTGCAAAAGACAATAATATTTTGGATCGTTATTTTTTAAAAAAAGAGAAATCCTTCAGATATGTAAGTGGTACACATATTAATGAATTTATTAGTTTAATGGGTGCATTTGTAACAAAAAACATAATCAAGGACATACAATTGGCTGGTATTTATAGTTTATTAATTGACGAAACTCAGGATCTTGCTAGGCACGAACAAGTATCATTCATCATACGTTATGTTGATAGTAATTTAAATCCCCATGAAGATTTCATAGGATTTTTTAGAACAGACCAAACTGATGGTGAGTCTTTGACTAATTTAATAAAGGTAGTACTCAATAGTTATAATCTTAGAATTGAAGATTTAAGAGGTCAATGTTATGATGGGGCAGCTTCCATGAGAGGATCATATAATGGTGTTCAAGCCAAAATACGAATTGAAAATCCATTAGCATTTTATGTTCATTGTCACGCTCATATTCTTAATCTTTATTTGGTTGATTTGGCAAAACAAGTATCATATGTTAGAAATACTTTTGGAACATTAAAGGCTTTACATAGTTTTATTGGTGCTTCTTCTAAAAGATATGAAATATTTGAGCAAATATGGATAAAATTAGGTGATAACATTGGACCAAAAACTTTAAAAGGATTGAGTGATACAAGATGGAGTTGCAGGATAGATGCATTAAACTCAATTCTTTCTAATTTTACTGTCATTCTCAAAACTCTAGAAGACATTTCAGAAAAAGATTCAATCAATGGATCTGATGCTTCTTCGTTGCTTTTTTCTATATCAAATTTTGAATTTGTGTTCTGTATAGTTTTTTTAAATAATGTAATGCGAGAAACTAATATTTTATCAAAATATTTACAATCCCCTAATATTAATTATGCTAGTGTAAATACAATGACACTACAGACAGTAGATATTTTAAATAAGTATAGATCAGATACAGAATTCAATATAACTTGGAACAAAGCTATGGAAATAACAAAAAAAAAACAATATTAGCTCTCCAAAACTTCCTAGAAAAAGAACTATTCCACTGAAATTGGGAGGAGGTCAAGTTAATTCTTCAAACATAATAAGTGTTCAAGATATGTATAAAATCAACATTTATAACACTGTTTTGGATATTATTATAAAAGAAATACAAGACAGATTTAAAGAAAATGATCTTAATATACTACAAGCTATGAAGGATGTTATTGTTAGTGAAAAACCTGAAAAGAATTCAATTAAATTAGTATGTGATACATATAAAATAAATTTTGATGAAACCACTATTGAGCTTTACCATGTTTAATCGAATGTTTAAGACAAAATATAATGAATTCAACATCAATAATAAAATAGCATATTTGTTATGTGGTGATATACAAATAGATTTATTAACTATATAAAAATAATAAATATTTTGACTATACCAACAAATACCAGTTCATGCGAAAGAACATTTTCATGCTTAAAACGTTTGAAAAGTTATTTAAGAACCAGCATGGCCAAGTACGTTTAAGCAGGCATCTCTACAGATTCAACGATCAGTACCAATTGATTTTGATCAAATTATTGATAATTGTTTCAAAAGGAGAAGGGGGTAATAGAAAACTAGCATTGAAATAATTTTTTTTTTTTTATTTACTTTATAAGTTTTATTTAATAAATAATATGATTCAATAAGTTGTTATTTATTATTAATTATTAAGTAAATATGAAATATAAGTAAATAATATTAATACTAGTTACTTTTTTTAAGCTACATGTAGCACCTTTTATTAATGAACTCTTATTGGTATTATTTAACAATATTGGTACCAAGTACCTGCTACCTACAATTTATGTTTATCTAAACCATAAAATGAATTAAAATATGACTTATGTAATTCAAACAATTAAGTATACTGTACAAAATACATATAATAAAAATATATTTTAACTGGGGAGAGGGAGGGGTATCAGGGTTTTGATAATGATAAATATATTATATTGCCCCTCATAGATTTTTTTCCCCGTTACGCCACTGGCTTAGAGTTTATAGAAGAAAAATTATGCAAATTTATTACATTTTTAAAATTATAACGAGTACTAAGATTATTTATTTTTTTTTAATTTTGAAATATGAACTATTTTATTATGAATTATTTTGTTTTTTTGTTGTAATTTTTGCTTTAAATTCAATTTTCTAGGAGTATCTATTTCAATTGAATCAAGTTTTCTTCTTAAATTGGGGCTAGACATGTGTATTATATTTGTTATTTTAGCTTTTTGTGTAGAAGAAAGTAAAAAAAAGGGGACTTGGGAAAACTAACTCTACCATATTTGATTTTGAATGTGTATATGTTTTAGTTGGAGTTGATATTTAAATAAATTCTTGTTCAGGCTTATGATTTCCATTTAAGTTTAAAGATGTACATAGCTGTTGCTCAGATTTATTATTATAATAATAGGGAATATCAGTGTTAGTTAAACGGTTTTTATTAGAAAAATTTGTAAAACTTTCAGGTGGGAAACGCTCTTGACAAATGCACCTATTATGCAGTTTTTCGGGTTCAATCGAAAATAGAATTGTGTTTCCTGTGAAGATCAATCAAATATTATTTACCTAAATTTATTATCCAAACTTCCCTTCTCTCGTCGTTTGGAAAACGATAAAGTCGTAAATTAGGAAACAAATTCCTCGACTTGCCACAATTCACATACTGACATTTATTGTCAGACAGATAATTTTATACTCAAAACAATAAAAATTATTATTTGTATTAAAGACTGATCACATAGATCACAGTAAGAGTTGGTAACCCAAAAATTGTCTCTCACAAACAAGAAACGACTAAACAGTAAACACTAAACAGCAGTCAATTGGATATTTAATGATATCGGTCATCGGATATGCTATAACGAATTATGAAATAATATATTCTATTTTTAGAACGACAACTATTGTACCCTCGCTCTTCCTCACCATACTATGGTAGTGGTACCACCACCTAGAATCTGGACACCCTCCTCTTTGCTTACCTACCTATGAGAGGGTACACCACCTTTGCATCATTTCTACACTAGCGCTTACTTACCGGTTGCATCATAAACTAACCACTACACTAGCGCTTTTAGCGGTTGCATGATTTTCTGCACTAGCGCTCCATAGTGGCTGCATCATATGAATGGTCACCAAATTTTAACATTACATTCAACATTGCCTATCTGTCTATTCTATAATCAATGGTATTAGATACCTACTAGATAGTATTACAGCCGCAGTAGATAGAACTTCGGACTAAGATATTCTGTAATATATAAATAAAGCATAAATAAGCTTAATGGGGCTTACTAGTGTAAGACTTTATTGTAAATATAATAACTATTATGGATAATATTTTTGTCAGTTTTTTCACGGTACGCATCGAATAGACATTGCCATTATATCGTCATATTATTTTTGTATGTTAAAATATTCGTAAAACATTGTGTTAATTTTCTTTATTAATAAAATTCATTATGGATGAACTTGAAATGAAAAACAAATTTAACAACATTATATCTGATATAATTAAAAAAAAAAACGTAGTGATAATAACTCCTTTCTAAGCATTGATGAGTACAATATTCGTATTGAACAATTAAAACATTCAACATTTGTGTTGAAAACGCCAGGAGAAAAAAAGTCTATGAAAAATTACCAAATGGTACGTAAATATGATATTTTAACAATAAATAATAAAAAGCGTCTTATTAAACCTGTAAATGACGATACTATACTGTATTACGTTACAATTGACGAGTTGTTCAATATTTTGCATTCGACTCATTCTACTATTGGCCATGGCGTAAGATGTAAAATGAATTCTGAATTAAAATCAAAATATTACAATATTACGAACGAAACTATTATGGCATATTTAAATTTATGCACACATTGTCAAAAAAAGTCATCGAATCCTAAAAGAGGCCTAGGTTTTCTTAAACACAAGTATACGAGATCTCAACTTGTGTCATGCAAAGAAATTTTGCTTGATCTCAAAACCCTGCTTGAATCATCTTAAGATAAAGAGAAAACACTTCCGAGAAGCAGCAGGATGTAGTAGTCTATGGGCACACAAGGCTATAAAAGATGTCACTGTAAAATGAAGTCAGGGCCGTCCCGAAGGGGGGTTTTAGGGGGTGTCCCACCCCCCCAAGTGTACAATATGTACATTTGAGTTGGCATATTGATACATTAAGTATTTGAGTTGGAATTCGACAAATTAAAATTTTTTGTATACAATTTATAAATAATTTTGTAAATACTACATAGTACAAAATAAATATGATGTCATAATAATTTATTAATATATCGTAGTTTATAATAATTATGAAGGTATATAAGTTAATTTTCCGATTACCAACTGGAACTGTCCAAGGTCCAACACAAATAATATAACACAATTTAAGTATCTCTTGACTCTTTATGTGACAATGTTAAATGTATTATACATAATATAAGATATAAGTATATAATATTATAACATTATACAAATTTGTCTATGCATTTGTAGAATAATAATGAAGTGTTTTTAATAATACCATAATAAAAACTGATAAGGAACTGTTGTGCGCTGTCGACGAATGTAATTTCTATTTATAGAAGTAGGTATAAGTAATTTGAACAGAATATGATGTTGACTTATCTAAAATATAAAAATATAGACATCGAATGATCGATAAGATTCTAAAATTGTTTCATTTATATTATATAGTTAGTATTGAGTATTGACAATATTTAATTAATAATTTTATTGAGTATTTGGTTATTTTGTAATTTGTGATTTGTATCGTTAATCGTCATTCATTCCCGTTGGTCGTTTAGCCATCTGCGGTCGCTATTTTAGTTGTACGCGTCTCAAATTGAAAAGTTGTGTTGACAACACGTTAATATTTAAATTGAGTATTTTTTAACGGCTATACATTAACAATAATTAAAATTGTATTAAACAATTTAAAAAAATGAGCGATAACGGAAGTGTAAAACGTAAAAGAAATCGATTTAAGGTCGTGTGTTCAAAATGTGGCAGTATATTTAATAACGATTTTAAAAAACAACATGAAGAAAAAGTACATAATGGAAAATCAGTTAATATTAGGCTTGTTGGTGCTCCCGATAATCCTTTTCAAAGTGCAGCTAAGACTTCAAAAATCATAGAAAAGCGAAATTTGGTAAGTACCTATAATAAATTATAATTTTTATTAAGTTCAACAATAGTTGTTATTAAAATATGATTAAATGTTAGAAGCTATAACTATTACTAAATTATTATGTATTTATGTCTATAAATTTTAATCATGTTATTATGTTACTATTTCTTTATTAAATAAACATTATTTCTATTAAGGACAAAAAAAAGTATTTGCTTGAATATAAAAAGTTAAAGCGTGTTCATTAGTAGTTGTTTATTATGTTACCTATACACTTTTATGGCACAGTTTTAGTAATACAATTATACATTCTTATTTTAGAAAAATAATATTTCAAATTTAAATGTAAATAATGAGAAAAATAATATTGTTTGTGAAAAACTATTGGAAGATGAGTTTGCTCAAAATGATCAAAATATTCATGTTGCTCCTAATTCTGAGGTATCGTTGTGTATAATTTTCTTTATAAATTATTTTAAATAACTAATTTGCTGCAATATGATTTTAGATCCATGTAACTTCTGTATCTCAATCATTTCCAGCGGAGACCGATGATTTTAAAAATGATGAAGTAAATTGGTTATCGTGTGCTGGTAAATTAGAAATTATTGTTGCAGACTTAAGTGAGTGTGGTACCATTTTATCTAAATTAAAATCAGAATCATTACCCAATCCAGTTATATTCTTATTGGAAAGCATTCAAATTATCAGAAGAATAAAATCAAATTCTAAAGAATTCTTAAGAAATGCTAATATTTTGTCTGAACAATTTTCAAAAGCATCTGAAACTGAAAGTTCAAAACAAGTAAATGTTATTGATAATATTATAAGTCATGATCCAGGTAGTCGTGGTTCTGTTGCTTCAACATCTCAACGTCAATATCTTATTGCTTTAGGACCTCATCAGCCAAAATTAACTAAGTACCCAATTAATACTGAAATAAACAACATTAAACAGCATAGTTTTAATCCCAAGTGGTATAATGAATATCCATTATTAGAATACAGTATTGTGACTGATTCTGTATATTGCTTTGTATGCTCTTTATTTTCAAATGGTCCAGGAAGAACTTATGAAGATTCAGCATGGGTGAAACATGGTGTTCGTCAGTGGCACAAGATGAAAAGCTGTGGGGTTAAAAAGTTGGGTAAACTTCAACAACATTTTAATTGTATTTCTCATAAATCAGCGTTAGATGATTATTATCAGTTTATGACTACTGAAAATTGCATTGATATAATATTAAACAAATCAAATAGAAGAGAAGCAATTAAGTTGGAACAAGAAAAAGATTTTAACAAACAAATTATAATTATATTATTTGATATTGCTCGAACATTATCACGACAAGGATTAGCATTTCGTGGTGATGGTGATGAAAGTGGAGGAAATTTTATGCAATTGGTTAAACTTCTGTCTAGGCATAATCCATTAATGAAACGCTGGATTGAAGAGTCTTCATCATGGTCATATAAAGTTACTTATTTAGGTCCAACATCTCAAAACGAATTTATTGAATTACTAGCTAAAGAAACACGTAACATAATTGCAAAAGAGATAAAAGAAGCAAACATTTATTCAGTGTCTGCTGATACAACACCTGATTTATCACATCAAGACCGTTTATCAGTATGCGTGCGTTATGTAAATAGTCAAGGTAAAGCTGTTGAGCGACTTTTGGAGATGGAAAAAGGAACAGATAAAACTGGTTTGGGTACGGCATCACAAATAATCAACATTTTAGAAAATAATTTATTAAATCCTGGATTAATATCCTATGGAAAATACAATGGGGCCCATGTTAAACTTTCGGAACTAGTTGGCCACAAAATTACATTTATACCATGCCAAGCTCATAGGTTGAATACGTTTCTAGAACATAGTTGTGATGCTAGTAGTATAATTGGAAATACTATTGATACTTTGGAAAGTCTTTATGTCTTTTTTTCTTCAAGTAATAAAAGATATGGCTTACTTCATGAGAAAATTTCTAAAATTGAAAATTCATTACAATTAAGAAACTTGTCAAAAACTCGATGGACTGCTCGTGCTGAAAGCGTTAAGGCTGTATGGAATTAATTAGAAGCTGTGATTGAAAGCCTTGATGAAATTCATTCATTAAACAAAAGTTTTGATAAAGCAACAAGATCTAAAGCACTTGGTATTCGAAAACAAATACTCTCTTTTGATTTTATTGTTTCTTTATCATTTATGAAAAATATTATGTATAAATTGAAGTTTCTTACCGAAACTCTCGAAGCAAAAAATTTATGTATAATTGATGCAATAACTGTGATTGATAGCACAATGAAAATGTTGACAGAAATCAACTCTAATGATCACACAATGAACAATTTCATTGATAGTGCTAAAGAGTTTGCCAACTTACTTGGAACGGACCCAGAAGCTGATTTTAAAAACCACCATCGTAAAAGATTAGCTCCTAAACGATATGATTCTAATGCCACAACTCAAGTTGAATTCACAATGCATTTATTTTATAGAAAAGAATTTAAAATGGTTCTCGATACTCTGTTGAAACTAACAAATGACAATTTAAAATCATGTATTTCTTCTATTCAACCATTATTTACTTTATTTTCTCAGCCATTTAATAAAAGCAATATTTCCTTAGATAATGTAAAGAAATCTATTTCTTTATTCCCACCAAGCAGTGTAGGTGCAAGTCTTTTAGATTATGATTTAGTACAAACAGAACTAGAAATATTATTTAGTATGTTACAAGAAGATAAAACATCATTTAATTCTTTAATGGAAAAAGCAGAAGAAGTAAAGCATATTTTACCATGTGCCAATCAAATTTGTCGTTTGGCATTGACTTCTCCTGTAACAGTTGCATCAAACGAAAGATCTTTTAGTAAACTAAAATTGATTAAAACACATCTTAGGTCAACAATTGCTGATGAGAGATTAAATTCTTTGGTTGTATTGGGAGTAGAAAAAGACATTGTTGATCAATTAGACATAAATAAAATAGCTCATCAGTGGTCAATTTTAAAAAACCGACGTATACAAATTTAGTGTTAAGTCTATTATAAATATAATAAATAAATATGTATTGTAAGATTTTTTTGTTTGTATAAAAATATTATTTGAATATTATATTATGTTAACAAATTATGATAGTTTTGTAAATATACAAAAGTATTATGCATTTTGTTATTGAAAATATTTCATTGTAGTATACTTGTGAAATTGTGAAGATATGATCAATATATATATATAAGAGATAATAAATAAAATATAAAAGAATTTGTAATATTGTGTAAAATATGTTTACTGACTACTATAATTACAGGTAGGTATGTAACCTGTAGGTAGCAGATAGTTGTCGAGCGAAGCGAGAAAATTTTTATTGAGTTGGCACATTAATGCATCTCACCCCCCCCCCCCCTTATTATTTTGTTCGGGACGGCCCTGAATGAAGTGCAAAACCAATAAATACACCTGTCGAGTGGTTGGGAAATTATGTAATTCTAAATGTCATAGTTCATTATCATATGAAAATAAATAATAATAATATAACAGTTTAAATACAAATAACATGATTAACTAATATTGTTTGAAATTAACGTAAATCCTTAGTAATTAACGTTATAAACCTTGTAAAATATTCAATAATATCTAATAACATTAATTGCTAGTTAATAACATTAATATAAATTTAACATCCTTTACTGTAACATATATATTAGGGTGGTCCTTATTTATAAGAAAAAAAAAAATATTAATATTTTTAATATCTTACCCGCCAACTTTGTTCATTACTGTGAGTAAGTAATTTATGTTAAATATGGTCATGATTACTCAACCCCTTCATGTGCCACAAAAGGATTGAAAAATTTCGAAATAGGGTTGATACGTCAATTTTTAAGTTTAATTTAAAAATATCGCTTAAAAATAAAATAAAACATTTAATCATTATATAAGTTTAAATTGCAAAATTGCATTGGAATAAGAATAACCATTTTACTTCAATAGTATAATTTATATTATACTATTTAGATAAATTGTAATCAGTTTTTAGGTATAAAAGATATTACGTAATTTGAGGCCATGCGTCGAATCGTCGTTGTTATCTTTAAATTACTAACGATTATGTGTTAAATTCTCTATGTGAAAATACTATTTTTATATACTGATACTGAAATGTGCTATACTAGCACTATGTGTTTTATTTATTGAGCCGCACTCATGAAGAGATGACCAAATATTATTGTAAGTACAATACGTTTTAAGTATATTCATTTTTTCACTATTTTATTATTTTATTGGGTTTTTATTAATTATAATTAATTTTTAAATTTAATATACGTTTTGAAACATTATGACGACTCGACAAAACACTGATATATGGTTAATTGGGCAGCCTTTAGAACGAATTACTGGTAGTAAGCTTCCTTCAAATGGAGATATTCTGCGTAGACTGTTGTTTTTAATACGGAATGAAAAAAAAAACAGTTAAAGAGTCTTCATCCGTTATAACTCAAGAATTATTATATTTTTGGAAATGTGCGAGGATACCTACCATGAATGACTATAATATTACTCCTAAAATAGAAAAAGAATATATGAACTGGCGTGCTTTACAAAAAGGTAAATCGCGTAGATCCGAACCACAAATAAAAAAAAGAAGAAGTATTTAAAGACAGATTAACAGATTTATTTGATATTGCTCATTTAAATGCTCTACAAATTATTAAAATTGACGAAGACAAAAAATTCTTATTAGCACAACGCGAGAAAGGTAGAAAAGGGTGTATGATTGGAATAGATAGAAAACTGGAAAAACAAGAAATGCGGAAAAATCAACGTGAAATCACGTTTCAAAATTATAAAAACAGATGTAAAAAAACACAACAACTATCAGTACCTGATACTGTTGATTTATTTTCTTCTGAAAGTTGTAGTGAAGAAGACATTGAATTTACATTAGAAACTACAAATAATTCGAATAAACGAAAAAGGGGAAGACAAAATATTATGAATTCTGAAATTGTAACGGCATTAGATCGTACAAAAGTTAGTGATCGAAATGCAGTTCATATTCTTATTGCTACAGCTCAAAGTCTTGGCTGTAATGCAAACAACATCGCTATAAATCGCTCAACTATTCGAAGAAATAGAGTTTTTTTAAGACAAAAAGTTTCCGATGACATAAAAGTATCTTTTAAACCGGATTGTCCTCTAACTGTGCACTGGGATGGCAAAATATTACCCGATATTACTGGGAAAGATAATGTTGATCGTCTTCCTATTCTAGTATCCGGAGACGGTGTAAGTAAGCTTCTCAGTGTTCCAAAGCTTGATTTTGGAACTGGAGAGGCGATATCAAATGCTGTTATAGAGTCATTATTTGATTGGAGCATAACAGATCGCGTCCAATCACTATCATTTGATACAACAGCCAGCAATACAGGACACATAAATGGAGCATGTAAGTTAATTGAAGAAAAAATTGGTAGAAAATTATTATACCTCGCATGTCGACATCATATATTAGAAATAGTTTTAGGAGCTATTTTTACTGTGTGTTATAACAGTCCATCAACTGGGCCAAACATTCAGATATTTTTAACATTTCAACAGCAGTGGAAAAATATTGATAAGAATAAATTTCAAGTCTTAGAAGAAAGAATAAGTAATCGAGACGAAGTCATAATATTTTGCAAAGAACAATTAATTTCATTTCATTCGCGTGACGATTACAGGGAGCTGTTAGAACTCATAATTATCTATCTTGGGGGTGTTCCTACAAGAGGTATAATATTTATTCAGCCTGGAGCAGTTCATCGGGCACGGTGGATGGCACGCGCTATTTACGCCATTAAAATTTGTATATTTAAAAATCAATTCAAAACGTCTAAAAATACAATAAATTATATGAAAAGATTTTCGTTATTTATTGTTCAAATTTATGTATTTTATTGGTTTAAAGCTCCCTGTGCTGTATCAGCTCCTGTAAACGATTTAAATTTACTAAAAGAACTATCAATGTACCCAGATAAAGCTGTATCAAAAGCAGGAATTACAGCCTTTTTACGTCATCAGTGGTATTTATCAGACTTGCTGGTATCTTTTTCATTTTTTGATCAAAATGTTTCATATCAAATTAAAAAAAAAATGGTCACGGCATTAAGTAATAAAAACTCAGAAGATTATAAAAATAGAATTAAAATTGATACTGTTGATTTAAATTGTACCCAAAAAACTGTTGCTGATTTTGTTAATCATAAATCAATTAATTTTTTTAATATATTGAAGATACCAACTGAATTCCTTAAGTTTGATCCTGAAGAATGGGAAAATATGCCAGATTATCAATTAGGATTAAGTGTGGTTAGACATATGCAAGTTGTCAATGATTTTGCTGAAAGAGGAGTGGCTCTAATTCAAAATTATAATTCGATTCTTACAAAAGACGAAAATCAAAAACAATTCCTTTTACAAGTCGTCGAAAGTCATAGAAAGAGATTCCCTGATGCTCGAAAATCAACTATCATATCAGACAAAATTTATTCGAAATAATTTGATTATATCTACTCCATTCAAAATCTGTACGTAATTTTATTATAATTAAAATCAAAAAAATGTATAATAAATAGTCAATATTAATAAATTTATTTAATTAGGTATCAATAAACTACGCTATTTACAATTTTTATATGAAAGATGAATGTTTATTATTTTTATACTTAAATTACAACTATTTTTCCGTGTATTTTAGCTCTATAAATTGTAAAACAAAATGTTATAACAAAACTGTGAATCCAGTGTAATTTTTACTAATATACTTTATTTTAAAAATTTCAATACTTAAGATATTTGGTTGTATCATCAATAATTTTTATAATAAAAATTTTAAATATATAATTAACTGTATAAAAACCAAATTTATGAAATCAATTAAATATTTAGTATTTTATAAATTTTCATAGAAAATAATAGATTTATAAGAAATTGTATAAATGTATTTTTTATTGATAATATAAGAATTAAGTATCTATAATTTACCTTTAATACATTTATGGATAAGTGTAATATTTTTTAAATTAAACTTAAAAATTGACATATTAACCTTATTTTGGAATTTTTCAACCCCTTTGTGACACGTGAAGGGGTTGAGTAATCATGACCAAATTTAACAACAATTACTTTCATATAGTAATAAACAAAATGGAAAGGTAAGAAATCAAAAATTTGCAAGTTCAAAAATAAGGACCACCCTAATATATATATATATATATATATATATATATATATGTTACGGTGAATGATGTAAACGTAGTAAAAGACGTCATTCCTCGGTAAATGACATCATTTACCTAAAAATTGGTAAACGTTGTAAATGCAGACATTCCCCGGTTATTGTAGTCAATCACCAGTTTAATTGGAAAATGATGTTTAATACTTTTATGTCGGTGTGAACGATCAGTGATAAGCGTATAGGTACCGAATAAGCTTCGTTAGTTAAAAATATCATGACGGAAGTATATAGATAAACGAAAATCCCAACTAGCAATAACGTCGATTCTTTTAGTTTATTAGTTAGTATCGACAGGCATATTATAGCGAGTTGTGTTTGTTACAAATGTGTGTTAATATTATTTGTAAAAATGTGTGTACTATATAGTTGTGGTACTAAAAAATGTGCTTGAAATGCAGCGGAAATGTTGTGCAGTTTAAAATGTCATGGTAACCAAAATTGTACAAATAAATAATTTGTAATATGCATGTATTTTAATATTTTTAATTAACCTATTATCTCCTTCAAATAAATGCCTAAAATAAAAAATGAAACATCCACCAACACTAAGTCATTATTATAAATAGTACCTATAGTAAAAAAAATCAGTGTATTATTTGAGATTTATCATCATTTACCACTAGTTTTGGTAAATGATATCAATGACCGGTGAAAGATGTACATTTGAATTTAAAATCTGATTTTTTACATCATTTACCTACAAAATCGAATCATTTTGGTAAAAGACGTCATTCACCGGAGAATGACGACATTC